TGGTCATGCTTCAGGTTGAAGTTCTCGTCCTCAAACGCCTTGAAGCCCCAAATGGTAGTGGAGCCGGTGCCATCGCCATTGAGAAAGTCGCCGCCCTGACACATGAAATTGGGGATCTAATTCGCCTAGTGTTAGCAAAGAAGGATACATCGATGGGGATATTGGGATTCCACCCTTCCCCCCCTCGGCGATCCAAGAGGGACAGCCCTCGGCAAGGGAGGGGTGGAGGGATACGCACAATGCGGTGGAACTTGGAGCCCTTGTAGCCCTGGGGGCGACCGGCGCTATTCTTGGCCTCTCCGGTGCAGAACTGGCGGAAGTTCTCGGCAGTCTTGGGGACCACGTCGTTGAATAGCTCGAACTTGATGCGGCCCAGAGGTTCGCCTGGAATTCAAGCTGGTTAGATTTATGGGGGAATAGCCGACAATGATCATGGTGACTGATCACAGATGACTTGGAGTGTGAGAAACTAACCTCCAAGAGTGATATCGAAGAAGACTCTGGGGGGAAGGTTAGCCTGGTTGGCTCATCTGTGAAGGTGAGTGTAGATTTGGTGGTTCACGTACAGCGGGTTGCCAGAGGCTGGAAGCTCGGTAGGCGGCATCGTGGAGGCTGTGACTGGCTTATGAAATATAGGGTCAGGTGAAAAACGAATATCCAGCTAGAATGGGTGGTGTATTGTTGTTTTTCACCGATTATCTGCCTCTGGGTATCGTTGAATTGACGGTGTTGATCTTTTTCTTGTTGTTGGAATGGTAGAGTTCGCACTGTATTCATAGCTCGGGGTGGACATAACACCACAGTTCTCGGGACCACAAAACACAGTGTTAGAAGGAATTGGTACTGTAACAGGGACCCCCGCTACAAGCTTATAATTACCTACTGCAGCCACTAATTGTACAATTCTCCCCTATAGCTTCGCATCATCATCTTCGCCACGGCATCGACTCAAACGGCCTCAAAAGGCTTTGTTTCTTTAAAATATATACTCATCTATGTGTCATATTTACTCTGTCTTGAGATGCAACCATGTGATACTTTCTCAATGACAGACACTAGCAACTGTCTGATGGGCCAAGTATCCTACTCGACGCTGCCGCTCCAGTGGTGGACGTCGAACTGGGCGTTGCTGCCAGTGAAGGGCTCGGTACCGAATTGGAGGGCTAAGTGAAAGTCAGCACGCTGCACTGGACTAATTATAATTTGCAGGGCCGGTTTCTTTTTTTATAAATGGACTTACTGATGAGGTGCTGGCTGTCCGCGGGGAAGCCCTGCTGCTCGGTGATGACGTTGAAGAACTCCTTGACATCGCCGTCGAAGTTGTTGATCTGCTCCGGGGCGATGAAGCTGTAGACCTTCATGGCGCCGTTGTAGCCGACATAGAGGTCCCAGCTGCGGCCGGCAGCCTGGACGGTGCCGGTGGACTGGCCGATGGGGTAGACGCCGCCAAGTCTGCCGAGCCTGTCGCGTTCGGATATTCGTTAGTTCGCGAAAGAACCCAATGTTTGATCGATTGATATCTAAAACTAGGAGGCCTCTTACCAGATCATGAGCTCGTGGTCACCGCTGCTGATCTCGTGGTTGGGGTCGGCAGCTGTGAAGATATCATAGGCGACGTTGGCACGGATGTCGCTGCCGCTGTAGGACCAATCGGCACCCGAGGGGATCTTGCTGATGGTGTTGACAAGCTTCTTGTCGCTGAGCTCGCGGCCGGAGTACGGGTAGCTCTTCACGTTGTTCTCGCCGCCCGACCATGACCACTCGGTGTGCCAGGAAACGCCGGAGGAGCTGACGCTGTCAACGTGGGTGCACTGGTCGCCAGAGCCGGAGCCGGACCCCCACTCGTTGTTGTTGAAGTACCAGCCAGCCTCGTTGTGGTAGGCGAACTGGTCGCAGAGGTCGACTGCCATGGCGAGGGGGGCCATGGCGGCGAGTTGGAGCATCTGCTGGACTCTCATTTTCGTGGCTGGCGATGGTGTTGCTGGGCTGGAGACTGGGGATTGGGAGATGGAATGGTTTAGAGAAAGAGGATGGTGACGGCAGGGCAGTTTATTAATACGTAGAGTGAAGCATTCTCCCATTTAAAGCGCCTGAAAGCCAAGATATCAATGCCCATTCTTGTCGCCACTAGCCATTTCTCCTTCCAAGCAGCGACTGGATCTACACGCTCATTTCCGGGAGAGGTCATGCCCGGCACATCGAAGAGTTCTAGGGCCGTTTCAAGGTTGGGACTGGCATCATCCATCGCCTGTGATCCACGTTCCTAAAGCTTGGCATTCGCGGGTACTAGGAATCCTAGAGTCAAATCGTGCACATTGCCGTGTTTCAAAGGGGAGCTGCTTAATGAGGCAACATGATGGCGATTCACTGTTTTTAATTGATGGGTCCCCTTGTGAGCTCTTCGGACCGGAGCCCAATTGGAGGATCTAAGCTTGATTCTCAAACAGAGACGACTTCGGGTCCTGCGGGATGTTTGCGCGTTCCTGAATCGACTTTCTGCATTCTATCTGGCTTCCTTTTTTAAGTGTGCCAGGGATGTCCTGATTGGTATAGTACCGAGTATTTTTGGGGCCAACCATGCACATCATTGCTGTATCCTGGATGAAAGCTGTCGATCGTTTCAGCGCTTCAGCTCGCTATTTGCTTGACTTCATAATTGCCTGATCTACGATTCCCACAATGGCGAGGAAGTTGCCTTCCAGCGATGAGTTGTACTGACCCATTGATTCTGAGACCCCATTATCCAGACCAATACTGTAAACAGCCAAGCGACTGACATAAAACATGGCACACCTAGACACTCTGGCATTAAATTTTTACATAATATCAAAATAATTGACCTAGTAATAAATACAATACCAAACTAAACATCGTAGAATAGTTTATTATTTTCTTATTATTGCGTTTACTAAAATTGAGGTCCCTGCCTTACGTGGACAGAGCTTTGGTGTGCCATGTTTTATTTCAGCCACTTGACGGCCAATCTACCCACACCACCGCCTGAAATATCTACTGAGTTTGACGATGCGAGCCATCTGAATCATTAGGGCTGGGACGATGGCGGAGTTGAGACTCCCAGCGAAGAGTGAGAAGTGACGTTATCCAGCGCCCTCCAATTTCAATTCGAGTTTGATAGGCTACCATCGGAGACGATTTGCATCATATCTTTACAAGTAGATATATTGGCTGGCCATAGTTTGGATTATGGAAAGACGAGCATCATAGGTTTAATATGCAAGCGAATGATAGACAAGCCCATCGATTAAAACCCAGACGCTCGAACTCTCGGGTATCAAGACAGAGACAAGGCGATTCATATGTTTCAATGGACGACAGAGGTTTAGGAGCCCAGTCCAGTCCTTCATATGACTATTACTTGAGATTGTCGTGGTGTTAGGGCGAAGCGGGCCGATCCGTGACGCTGGTTATTTTTGCGTGTTTTGTGACAAGGTCACATTCTCATCAGATCTTCGTATGGCTAAAACTTATTGGGAGCGGCTAGGTAAGTCACAACTATGACTCTCAGATATACACCCAATAAATGGTCGTCTTCTTTCAATGGCTTGTTTCCTGACCATTGATCAACACAGACTTTGAAAGAGAGAAAATTATCTCGGGGGGCTCTACTTTGCCCCCTTACAACATTGGGCTTAAGGGATTGGTCTAAGTAAGACGACCCAAGAAAAGGATGAGGAAGAGGCGAAGCTAAATGAGTCATGGCATATATCTAAACAAGTGGTCGGAGGTGAATTTATCCGTAGGCAACAGGGTCCACGATTTCAACTGGCCTTGCTTGGCCTGATTTGGGGGCCGAGGCATAGCAACTTTGCCACGGAAGAAAATTCAAGAAGAATGGATTTTGAAGAAGGAAGAATCCAGTCAGCGGCATGCCGCGTATGATTGGGGCGTAGTCTCACGGCACTGACAGGTAACGAAACAGCTCACCCACGTGCGACCTGGAATTGGCAGAAATACACGTCAAAGCACGAAGTCAGCCTGCATTAGGCGTTTGCGAATGCGAAAGGGAACTTTGGTGGCCGGTGTTTTTTCCGGAAACGGACGAGCTAGTCTGCTGTGTGTGCAAGTAAAATACCTTGTAGTTTAGGTAGATTTGATGCCGTCATGCATGCATATGTGCATGACTCTAGAGATTCGTTGTTCCCTCAGTACAGCTTGCGGCCATCGATGCTGTCTACATGTAGTCGGTCCAAGCTGAAACTATAGCCACGTCTAAGGCTTTTCACGTAATTCCGAGAAAGTCTACGCTCGAGAAGAGCAGGCTTGAAGAAAAAACAATGAACTTGGTAGCCTGATGTATGACATTGAATCTGGTCTCTGGAGGTTGAATTTGTGGTGGGTTGCGTGAGTGCTATCCATGTCAGCTGAAACAGCCCAGGTCCGATGGTATTACTAACCCAAATATAGTAGCATTTCGGGCCAACCACCCCTCTGATTGGTGCAGAAGCTTGGTTAATTTAATTGGTTGCTGCGGTAGCTCCCGCCCTGAAGGAACTGTTCTTCTGCAAGCTGTGATAGGGTCTTTTGTCTCCCCCCCTGTATCTGGGCAACTCTCCAACTCCACAACCCAGGATGGTGTGAATCTTGGCCCGAACAACTGACCAGTCAACGGTGGGTTTGTGGATGGTTTCCTGCAAGGTCCAGAAAGCTGTCGCCATATCTTGCCCGCTAGGGCAAAGAAGACTCCCTTAGCATGGCGAGGGTTGCTGCTGAGGCTTAGAGGTTTGCTTCCCATTGGTGGCAGCGTTCATTATTCTTATTACGGTGTATGTAGAAGACCTGGATCCTCTTATTATACTTTACCTGCTGCCACTTTATCTTTGTAGTATCCCATTGCTTCTTTTTCGTTGATGAGGTTTCCCTTTCCTTGTGTTCCTAACCACCATACTTCTGTGGCACGGCAGATCTTCCTTCACCCGTGTGCTTTCGTTAATTTGTTAATCTAATTGCTCGCCAACCCAGAAGAGGCAGGGCATCTAGCCATGTCTTTGGCACTATCATTAACCGTTTCTACCTTCATCCTCGCCGCTTTGGCGGACACATCTCCGAAAGAGGTGTTATGGAGCAACAAAACCTTTGGTCCGGATGGCCCTTGGCGCGCAGTCAAAACCAACATAGGCGGAAAAGAAATAAGCCTCTTTCCGGGAACCAATTGGGAGACATGGCTGATTGAAGATGATTACTGCGGTGATGGGACCTGTTATGCCTCCGAGGCTGGAACACACAACAGAAACACCTCTGGAAAGACTGGTAATATCAGCTTTTCCTCCGACTTCGCCTACTTCCAGCTTGGTATGAACGTGGGGGGTGGCGATTCGATGCGTTATGTGGACGACATCGAGATTAATGGAGTTACCGTGACCAATGCGAGTCTTGCCCTCATCAAATCTCCCACCTCCAAAGTCAGGTATCCTGGGATGACGGCACCGTTCTTTGCTGGCTGCTTGAGTGTGGGAAGCCGGGGCGGCGCGTATCAGTATTTCAGCTCATCAATCAAAGGCGACGGCCAAGTCAAGACCAGCATGCCTCCCGGGTTTTTATGGGATCAGGGCTACACGCCGTCCAACTCTTTCGGCTTGCACATCGGCTCGGTGGAACCTGATCTCGCAGGCTCCCTCTGGTACGGCGGGTATGACAGGAACCGCGTTGTGGGTGATGCCATCACCAATGAACGCGATTTCAAGGACGCTGTCACCACTCTGCAGGATATTGGGATTGATGTCATTAACGGAAAGTCACCCTTCGATTTCAACTCTACCAAGCCAGGTCTCCTTGCTCAGGGGAACTCGTCAATGCCCAACGAGTTCAAGGTTATGATTGACGGCTGCTCCCCCTATCTGACCTTGCCTAAGACGACTTGCGACAATATTGCCAGCTACCTCCCTGTCACCTTTAATCAGACGCTTGGCCTCTACCTCTGGAATACAAGCTCAGAAAAATACAAGAAAATAATCCCTTCAGCCACGGCTTTGAGCTTTTCGTTCACGTCCAGCGGCAACTCCAACCCGATCAAGATTCGCGTCCCGTTCATGCACCTCAACTTGACTCTTACAGCACCTCTGGTCGACACTCCCACGCAATACTTCCCGTGCCATGTAAATGAAGGGGGGGAATATGTTCTCGGCAGGGCATTTCTACAGGATGCATTTCTCGGAGGGAATTGGGACTCCGACGTGAACAAATGGTGGCTGGCTCAGGCGCCAGGTCCGAACATTCCATATACTCCGAATGTTTTGCAGATCGCAACCACAGACACGACTATCAGGAAGGGCGACACCAGCTGGGAAGATTCATGGAAAGGTGTATGGACGGAAGCCGACACGACCAATGGCGATTCTACAACAAGCGATGATAATGGAGGAGGTTTGTCGACCGGAGCAAAGGCCGGAATCGGTGCCGGTGTGGGAGTTGTTGGCTGCCTGCTCCTACTTGGCGCCGTCTATTTCTGGAAACGACGACAGGAGAGCCAAAACCAAGGCCAGGACGAGGGCCAAATCGAGGATCAGAGCAACAGCCAGCCATATCCTCAGTATTACGATCCCCCGAAGATCCAGGAGCTGCAATCACCGCCGCTCTACGACTCCAACATGTCTTCAAGTTGGCAGTCTCCCTCGCCGAGCCAAGCAACAAGTGAGTTGCTGGGTTCGCGGCCGGCACCACCTGAGTTGACAGGGTCGGAGCCGCCACCGAGTGAACTGCATACTTCAGAGAGGATCCATGAGATGGCATAGAGAATAGTTGTGCCGGATTGCAAGCGGTACGCTTAGGCGTTTGGGGTTTTATATTAAATTATGCCATGAACTGGCCTTGTATATTTGTTCCATAGCGCTAGCCCTTGATTAAAATAGAAAAGCGAAACATGTCTTGTCCTTTTTTGGAAGATTCTTCTCATACTCGGTCGATACTTGTCATGTGATGTAATTTTGTGAGCTTTGTTGACTCAACTCCGCAACGGCAGGTTAAGCCTTCAGAGTCCCGTGTTTGGGGAAAAATTCCTCCAATTGGAAAAAGTTGCCCTTGCCTGGAAACAGTTTCCTAAACACGGGTGCCTGAGGCGCCCCTGACTGTCTGCCAATGGATCCATGTTCAGGTAAAGTCAAGAATGGAGAGCGCATTTGATTCCATATTCTTCCAGAATCAAGCTCAGGATCCCGATTGCCGGCTCTCTCCCGATCCCGACGGGGCAACATGGAGGCTGAAGTCCGAAGAACCGCATAGTTTGCCTGGAATAGGCCATTGATCTTATCGACCCGAGTCAATCAATCGCAGGCTGTAGGTTCCTATAGGCTCGTCCTGCCGTAGTGTGATTCCCGCCAGGGGCAATGCTCGAGGTCGCGCGGCAGCACGCAATCAGCCATCTCCAGCGCGCGTAAACTAACTTGGATCGGAACCGCCTCCGCTCATGAAACCTGCATGCGCCAGTGAGATCGGCCAATGGCTTGCCCCTCATGTACTCCAAATGGCAGCTTCATCGCAGTGCGGGGAATGGAGTCTCCCAATGGCATCCAGCTCGGTGATAGCTCGGGGTAGCTTCCTGAGATTGGCGCAGAGTTTAATCCAAGGCGGTCGCCAATCTTTATAGACGGCCAAGTATAAAAGCACCTTGATGGTGAGCCCATCAAGGTGCGCTGTAGTAGCTCATCATCCCAAGTCAATCAATCCTCCATACCGACCAATCAATCCCTCACAATGGCCTTCTCTCTCCACCCGTCCCTCGACAACGGCATCACCAAGGGCAGCCCCGGCTTCTCTGGTGGTAAGCTCCGATGCCACTGCTCCAGCAGCCCCGTCGAGGTCACTCTTGCCGGCAACGTCGCCCACAACCACGCCTGCGGCTGCTCCAAGTGCTGGAAGCCCAAGGGCGCCCTCTTCTCCATCGTGGCCGTCATCCCCAAGGACCAGCTCAAGGTCACCGCCAACGAGAGCAAGCTCCAGATCGTCGACAAGACCGCCGCCATCCAGCGCTACGCCTGCAAGGACTGCGGCGTCCACCTGTACGGCCGCATTGAGAACGAGCACCCCTTCAAGGGACTGGACTTTGTTCACGTCGAGCTCTCCAGCGACAAGGGCTGGCAGGAGCCCCAGTTCGCTGCCTTTGTCTCCTCCATCATCGAGCAGGGCTTCAACCCCGAGAGGATTGACGAGGTCCGATCCAAGTTCAAGTCTATCGGTCTCGAGACCTATGACTCTCTCAGCCCTCCTCTGATGGACGCCATTGCCACCTGGACTGGCAAGCGTGCTGGAAAGCTGTAAACGGTATATAGACGCAGCAATCTACAGAACAAATGCATTTTGGGAAAGGCGAGTTTTGGAGAATTTAAAATAGTAAAAAGCATAACTTGAGATTAGATTAACAACTATTCATCTGGGTCTAACTACTTTCATGCTGCAGATCATTCGTGACATGTGAGCCCGTGAACCTATACGCCCTCGATTTCTATCTACTCTCTATAACGTAGATGTAAATTGTTCGAATGTGATCTTTCAGAGGAAATGCTCGCCTTGAGACAACCATTCGATAGACCAATCCCGACAATTGAATGATTACTCTAAGCGTTTGGGTAGAATGGTGTAATACCCTATGAAATGCTTTCATTTCTGCCAAGTTATGTTTCATTTAAAGTACTGCCAAAACAGTTCACACTCCCATGCAGCACTCAACCCCCCTATCCGTTGAAGTTGCAATGATACTCGAGGCAATGTAACCTCAATGGACAATGCCAGGCCCCTCTAGCAAAATAGGAAGGAACGTCCTAGAGAACATGATGCTCTTATAGCTGAGACCTATAAGTGTCCTTTTGCTGCCCTCTGATTTCACTTGGCTTACTTCGCATCATCTGAGAGTGAGTGATGACAACAGCAATCCAAGTTCAATATAACCATACGACAATATCTCCTCATTCATTCCACCCTGGCAATTTTTGGAACAAAACATCGTGACGTCTTTAAGTAATCCGAAATGATTGGTGCGTTCCTTGAAATATGCAGCAGAGATCGAGAGAACGTGCAAAACTCTCTTGGACATTCCATGTTCTCGAGTCACGGGGACTCACGCATTCTCGCAGCCCGACCCTGGGATATTCGTAGTTTCCGGGTAGTCATAAAGCATTCACATTGTGTGCCCTCATTAACTTACAAATTCAGCTAGCAATATGGTACTTGTACTCATAGCTTGGGCAGATCTGATGGATATTTCAAGATACTTTCGGGTCCCAAGATCAACTGCCTACCCGGAAGCGTCGCCTCATGTATTGGTTTGAATAATGAAACTAATTTCTATTTGCTTTACTGGAATGTTTTGGCTTTTCGATACTATTTTAGCCTCTCAAAATGGCCTCCCCAAACCCTTTCAAGACTAATTCCTGAACTCGCCTGCCCTGAGTCGCTCAACCACCTCCTTCAAGACGTTCGCGAGCCACTCAAAGTCCTCCAACTCAAGGTAGATCTGCGCGCTAATTCGGACAAACCACTGGCTGTTATGAAGAACAAAAGGAACGAACGTCTTATACTCTTCAACCAGGAGCTGCGCGGCCCAGGCCAGAGCTTTCGGCGAATCCTCTTCCGACAGGACAACGTCGTTGGGGCCTGGGGCGGGCGTGGCCGCGGTGCCCACCTTGACGGGTAGCCAGACATTGACGAGGGCGCAGTTGGTTATCGTCCCCTTTGAATTTTCAATGATGCCAGTTCCGAGGATCTCGGCGGCCCTTTTCCCACCCTGCTTGGCCAGTGTCCAGAGGTAGTTCATGATCTCTTCCTCAGTTCCGAACTCCTTGGCCCGGTACTCCAGAGCATCCTTTAAGCAGACGAGGGAACTGGTGTCGATTGTCCCCACGAACTGAAAGTTCTGGATGAACGCCGACTTGGAGGGATCTGTTGGGAGGGGATTGACCGGAGCCTTCCCGTTCTTGGGCACATATCCATGGCTCGTCGGCATGGTGCTGACGAGCAAGCCTTGGTTTCGAACCGGGATATACATGAACGCACATCCCTTGGGCGTGTTGATCCACTTGTGGCAGTTGGAGAGGAAGAAGTCGGGGTCCAGAGCCGTCATGTCGAGGGGGATCATGCCAACGCCCTGGGCGCCGTCGACGAGGCTCAGGATCCCTTCCTCGCGGCATATCTTGGTGAGCTGCTTGTACGGGAAGCACACGCCGGGAAGCGACGAGACGGTATCGAAGCAGGCGAGCTTGGGGCGCTTCCCTGTCGCTTTGGATGCCTGGATAGCGTCTCGGAACTTCTCGACAACGGCCTCATCTTCAAGCGGGTACTGCAACTCAATCAGTCGAGATGAGACAAGTTCATTGTAGTCACAGATATAGCTGATGGTCTTGCCGCAGGCTCCATAGATGGTTGAGAAGGACAAGATCTCATCCTTCCCGTCTTGATTCCAGACAAGGTTTCGGAGAATGATGTTCACGGCCGTAGTTGCGTTGGACGCAAGGATGACCGTGTCCGAAGGTGCGTTGACAAACTTTGCAATTGCTTGGCGAGAGGCATCGAGGAGCTTGGGTTGATCATATCGGATGTACTTGTCCGGGTTAGACTCCTCCTGAAACTGGTATTCGATCTGCTTGTCCTTGATGACTCGGGGGACAACACCAAAAGAACCTGGACTATGGGTTGGCAACACAGAACCGATTGAAGCGTCGAGTATGTCAATACTAGCTTAACTCACCATTGTTCAAGTTCCGCCACCCAGGAGCTAGTAGAAACTGCTCTTTGAGCGCTTTGCCAAACTTGGTGGAGGTCATGATGAGACTATTGATGTGGTTGGAATTGCTACAGAGCTTGGATCGACCATTCTCACGAAGAGGCCCATGTTGACGAGAATATTTATGTTTTCATTTGTCCCATTTCATATCCTCCGTTCCATTGACTCTAATTGACTGACTCTTCACATTTCGAGGTTTTCACAGGCGAATGCAGTCACTCATGTCGTCTAATCGAGAAAAGGGCGCGACCTCCCCGAAACCGGACAGACTAACGGCGGTTTGCCGACGAGGCCCGCTTCAAACCGTGATGACTCGCAAGTCAATTGGAATATTGGTTCTAACGCTGTTTATTGACTCATGTGTTTTGGAAAACAGTCATTGGCATTGGCCAATTGATGGAAGATTTCGGCTAGAATGAGGGGTGAACGGAGCCAATGGCTTCGATAGTACCTGCATGCTCTCGTCCAGATGAATCATATCATCGGTTAGCAGTAGTCGCCGCTAGTTAGTGGTCATTGGCGAGTATGACGAGCGAATTTCTCTTTGCATTGCCTGTGATGTCTAACTGCATTGACGTGCTGAGCTGTCTTTAACGAGCTTGATATGGGTTGCCCGTGTATTAACCCGATAGACGAAGGCGCAGGATGATCTGCAATAGATGATGGCCATATTGAAGTGGCATGGCAATAGGCGCAACAAAGTGGGCAGGCGACCGCTACACGACTCACCTCAGGCCGGCCACGTCGAAGTGGAGCTGGGGAAAAGAAAGATGCATGAGCTGAGCCATTGATGAGTTCGAAACTGAAGCAACCCGCTCCCCCGCCCCGCCCCGCGGAGTCTTGGCCTCGAGACCACGAGGGACAAGAATGCTGCTCAGCCCTGGGTCTTACGACGACGAGGCACTGTTGGGGAATAGCTGGGTAAACTAGTTCGCAGTTGGTCACCGTGACCTTGCAGCCAAGCGACGTGCGCAAGATACCCGTGTCAATCTGACAGGATGGATGGATGTAAGTGCTTATAAGTCGTATCTCCGGCTGTCAGTATAGAGATGGGTTTTAGCTGCTTTTTACCTTTGGCCAAACGAATAGGCCGTTTTATCCCGTCTCAGATGATCTTCTGACGAGATGCGTAATCGTATCATGTGGTCCGGAGATAATTGCGGTTCGATTGAGACCGGCAGCCGGCCGTTCCGGACGCAGGGTGGGCAAAGTGATGCTACGCTGGACGCAGCTCTGTCTCAACCACCAGAGCGGGGCCTGGTTTGTACGGAAACGATCCTACATAAGGCAAGCAAAGTAGAGCGGTCCATCCGGGAATATCGGGCTACGTACATCATTGCCGGCCGTGTTGGGTCGTCAGGGATGACTCGTGTGTTTGTTCTGGCTTCAGTCCCTGGGCAGACCGGATTATTCGGATCGCTTGTGTCTTTCTGGATTTGGACCGGTGTGTCTTGGATTACGGTCGAAAAATGGGGTGGAACAAGCAATAGAACGGGAAAAAAGAAAGACATATTGATTCGGAAAAAAAAGAAGGAAAAGCACGGGCATCCCGCCGTGCTTTTTGCATAATTTAGTCAATTGCGAGGGCATCAAAGCAGCAGGATCGGACTGGCTCCACCACTAGATACCGCTCTCATGTATGCAGGGCGTCACACCATGACGCTGGGCCATGTGGAAAGCTTGGTGCTCGCTCCCTGCTTGCGCGAGAATATGGAGGACTGGGTGAGAGCCCCAGCAACCCCGCAAAAGGCAACCCGAAGCAGGTGCTGTTGTTGCGCTGCATCCCGGATTCTTTTACGTACGCGGCATGGAGAGACCAAGACAAGATGCAGGTAGGCGCCAGGCGCACGGTGTCTCCGCGCGCTCAGTCACTGTGGCCCGTACCTCTAGTGGCTGGTACCTGCCCGAGCGCGCACTAGCAGCATTTTACTCGCTCGAGGGAGACGCCGGGTCCACCGAAAGCAGGTGCCCTTTTAGCCCTCCACACTCCAGCCATGGGACAAGCTTTCTTGGGGCATGCATCGCCGTTCCGTCCGTCGACCAACGATTTGCGTTTATCGTTCGTGTACGCCAGCGACTCGCTAGGTAGTTGGCGTCAACGCTGCGCTGATGCGAGGTGAGCCGCCAGGCCAGGACTCAGCCGCCCGGTCAATGGCGTCGGGGAGTATGCTGCCACCGTCAGATTCACCATCAGCGGAGATCCGACTTGCCGACCTGCTGCTTGGTCCTCGTCGCATGTGTGTGCAGGGACCAGATCAATGACATCAGCACAGTCTCGGCTGTGTCGAGCTGGTGGCTTGAGCCTAGCACTCAGTGATCTAGATTTATCGATTGCAAAGTCAGGACCCTTGGATGCTGGTTCTCGAAATGGCCCTTGTTGGGGGAAATTGGGCAATCAAGAAATTCAGCCCTGAAGACGGGAGATACAAGCCCATTCTTTTGACTATTGCGGAAATCCACTTGATGGTATTTAGGTAAAATACATCCAGGGCAGCCATCGCCATGTCAGTGGGTTCGGAACAGGGGTGTGCGGGCGACCGAACAAATCTGCTGCCAATGATCATAGGAATGCCGCTGAGCTTATTGAAATCACAATTTAGAAGGTCTCATGTGTAACACTCCGCGTGCCTGGGGCAATTTCCATATGTGTAGATCGACTAGAACAATGGTGGCGAGGATTCAGGCTAAAGCAAGGACATCGATGAAACAAAGCCCTGGACAATTATTAATCTACATCAATCTCACCGTGAACATTCGTCTGTCGTGTTGTGCTGCTACGTCGCCCATGGTTCGGCACACTTCGATCACGTCATACTGCTCTAGTTATCATACCTAAGTCGTCAAAGCAAGGCTGTATACCAATGGGCTTCGTGTCGTAAATACGAGGCGTAATCATTCTGTAAGATTTGGCGCTGTTGCTTCGAGCAAGAGTCCAACACGCACCTGGGCTTCGTCTGCGAGTGCCGCCTGAGCTCAATCCCGCAGACATTTGTCATCATAACCAGACGAAACGAGGCCGTCGCTACTCAAGCGAGGATGAGACGCATCGGAGCCCGTCGTTAAGCTCTATCGCTTGAGTCGGGATTGATGGCGAGGTTGGGGTTCTAACCGTCGATCAGTTGCCAGTTATTGTGGGCTGGCGTGCGAGTGGGTAGGATGCGACAACCTTTTCCCCCTCCACGATGGCAGCAAGGATGGCTTGGATGGCTCTCTGACCGTAGATGGGTGGCAGCGGTGATGGTAGTGCCGGTCTCTCGAGGCCCACGACTTGCTGAAACCGGCTCGTATGCACAATCGATGCAGCCTGTCAGCCACCCTTGATGCGGAGATGGAAGGGCAATGGCTAAGATTGTTTGTTGTTGTCGGGCAGTGCATAAAACAGGTTCGAGACAGACCAAAGGCCGCAGCACTTGGGCGTATTGCGTACAAAGGGACTGATGAGCGGCCTCCCAGACAAGAGAAAGGGCCAGGCTGGGCCCGAGGCTAGAGCGCAACTTCCACACACACTCCTCAGTTGCTTTTGGCAGTTGTCGTCAGCACGCTTCAGATGCTGCCCTCCACCATCAGGAACTGCTTATCGTATCGGGCAAGGGTATTGCACGGTTATGTCCCGCACTCTGGGCAATGAAGGAGGGTTTGGCTCCAATCACGTCGACGCGATACAACACCAACAGCACTGGACCAGGCCGCTCAAGGCCTAGTGCCTGGGCATCACAGTGCGACTCGACTGGAGGCCCATGTTTGCATTGAAGTATATTGGCGCTTTGATACATTTGGGCGCCTCCTGCTCCACTGATGGATGCAGCGGCGGACCCAGAACAGACCCAGAACAGCAGACCAGCCAAAACGCTACCGTATGCTGGCTGGAGACCCCCCTGGTCGGCCTCCCCTGCTGCCCGTGTGCATGCACGACTCTTGTGGCGGAACTAATGCTGCACTCCAGCGCCCCATGCTTCAGCGCAGTTCAGCACTCGCCCTCTCCTTCCCTGCTCAGATGGCCCAAGACCCGCTCACTTCGCCTCCTCTTCTCCTCACTCTTCACACCATTAATATTACCTGCCTGCCATTTCCATCCTTCCTCTCCTCCACCCAACCTCAGAACTCCGTGGACGTCCGAGTCCACATCCAGCATTGAGTCGCAATCGAATTCAACCCATCACATTCCGCATTCATATTGATGCAATCAGTTTCGAATTTTCCGTTTTTGAAAACGCCAGCGGGCGCACTTTGGCCTTAAGCCCAAGTTCAAACCCCCCGATCGTTCTTGAATGGTCCGATACAGTCGCTATCATCAAAAAGGCTCAGACCGTTCCTGCCTTCGACATCACCCCGAGTCAGCAATAGGATCACCGCCGACCGGTTCAACATGGCTGTGATTAATCAAATTGTCGGCGAGGCTGCCCACCTTGTCGTCAGAGTAGCGGACGCTGCCACAACGACGACCAGCAGCCCACAGCCGGCAGAGACGACTCAACCAGCCGATCGAAACACCAACTCTAGTTCCCCGTTGCTGTTTTTCGTTGCACTGGGTTTTGGTGTGGTATTTACCAATTTATGGTAAGAATTACTTCCACGTGCAGTTTAGAGAGTTCTGGACTGCATGAACGCCGTTGAAGGTGCCCCTGAACCTTACGTCTAACCGATCGTTAGGATCATCGTTGGTGTCAAATATTGTTTCCGCTACAACGCTCGCAATCGAGCCCTTCGCATGGGCGAAGACGGCGAACCAATCAACATGGAGAACATGCCTCGTCCTCATCGTCGACGCCGCGAGAAAAAGCTCATGACCATGGACGAGGTTAATGATAAGTTTCCTATGATGAAATACAAGACTTGGGTATCGGAACGGGCAAGAGAGGGACTGCCTACTGCCGGTGGCGTTGACCTTTCTCAAAGCCGCGCCAACAGTATTCGTGGCGCAGATGGAATCATCCCTGACCTGGCATCGAACGACAGAGACTCTTCTGACAGTGTTCGCGCCAATGCCGCATCTACAGCCGCATCTGCACCTGATGGACCCAAGAATCCCCAGGTAGCCGACAAGGATAAGGACGACGAGAAGAACGATGGAACGGAGCGAACCAAGGATGTACCAACGAAATCTAACGAAACAGGCCAAACCTCTTTCGCGGACAAAAGCGGAAGTCTTCATCGAGTGGATAGCGAAGAGGGCGACGAGCACATTGACGCCGCATTGCCCCCTGAGTGTCTGCAGGCCCCTGGTGACTCGTGTGCTATCTGCATTGATACCCTTGAAGATGACGATGATGTCCGTGGGCTGGCTTGCGGTCACGCTTTCCATGCTGGATGCGTTGATCCTTGGTTGACAAGCCGCCGTGCTTGCTGCCCATTGTGCAAAGCTGATTACTACACACCCAAACCCCGACCAAACCAGGAAGCCGAAGCACAAAATGGAAATGCAGCCAACTTTGACGCTCGTCAAAATAGCCGCCTCAATCTGCCCTCTGGATTGGCGAATGTTTTCCGCAGCGACCGGAGTAGCCGAAATGCATCTCGCACCCGAAGTGGCCAGAACCGTGGACACAGATCTCGATCAGACCACCAAACCCAGGAGGAGCCGACTACAACTACTGAATCGGCCACTAATTCGTCGGCCGCTGAGACACAACAGGTACCTCGCGCCGGTGTCTTTTCGTCGATCCGCTCTGCTTTAACTTTCGGCCGGAGGCCCACTCCAGAGCAGGCTAATCAGCAGTCGGATGCCACGACGGTGACTCCGGCCCAATTGGAGGCTGGCACCCGCCCTGCACAATCATCGTGATGCTGGTTGTGACAAGAACCAGCTACAACTTTATCTTCACAACGACATACATAACTACTACTTGACGCAGGCTTGGCTCTCGAAGCTCCAGGCCAGCTTCTCATTTAACAAACATTCTTCCTCGGAAGTTTTGGGCCAACACGGCTTAGCACCACGAAAAATTTCTTCCCGCATATTTTTGACCGAGAACCGGTCAGTTGTATATACTCTCTCTGCCTCACCTTTGGGATTGGCTTTGAAGACGGGGAACTCAGCCACATGGAGGGGAGCATGGGCACGAGCTGGAGGCTGCTATCCTCGATATAGCGCAGAGGTAAAGGCGCAGAAGTTCCTGCATTATGGCTGGAAGCTCTCGGTGATTTGTTTAGGATTCGTTTAATTCGGAGCGACGGAGTTTAAGGGTTTTACATAGCATCTACGGGGGGACAGGGGAGGAGAGATACATGACAAGATTACAATAAATGAATAACGCATTTGAACACATGCATCCCGTTAAATGGTTTCATCCAATCCAAATGAAGAATTCGTAGGTTCAAGACACATTCATAGGAAATTTCCTCTCTGGAACCTGCCTCCGAAATTAGCTGATTTGTTCATCAGTTCCCTCCTCTTGGCGGTTCCTATTTGTCCACCCAAAGCCATGTCCTTCTCCTTGTCAAATGCTCTTTTGCTTGGATCATCCTCTTCCTGCCCCGGTGCGTCGCCTTTTTCTTTCCGGAGTTTGCTGTGCTGCTCGTACAAGCTCTCTCCCCGCTTCGACTCGATATTAGCAGCAATCTTTCGATTCCTCTCCTCTGCCTCCCTCGCCCTCGCATCATCGGCAGAGGATCCGTCCTTGCCAGGTGTTGCGCGCCCGAGAACAGAGTCTTGCAAGCGCTGTAGCTTCTCCTCGGGAGTCTCTGTCCAGATGGAAGAGACACCTCCCTTTGAACCCGAGGATGAGGATGTCTTGGAGGCGAACTTTCGCGCGCGGATGCGGGTTGGGTCGCGCTCCGAGTAGCCTGTCTCTGTCGGCGGTGCGAGCATCCACGAGTCTCGCTTTGGTCCTTCGTCGACGGATGGGGGCATTGCTGGTCCCATGACCGGCCTGGCCGTGGCGACTGTAGGAAGGGCGGGTCCGTAGTCGTCTGAATCTGAGTCTGAATCCGACTCCGACGCTGGGCGTTTTGCGGGAGGTGGTAGCGAGGGTCCAGCCGCGGCGGCCTTGGGAGGCGCAGGGCCAACGTCAGAATCTGAGCCGTCCAAGTCTATTTCTTCGGAGTTTTTGGTAGGAATTGAAGGCCTAGAGACGGTCTGTGGCGCCTTGGGTCCGTACCCGTCGTCCGAGTCCGAGTCATCAAGATCGATCTCGTCTTGGTTTGGTGGTGCAGGCCCTATTGTTCGGGCATTCTTTGCGGCGGGCGACGAGGGCTTGGCGTCTTCATCATCTTCGGGAGTGCGCTTTCGCTTTGCGAGATGTGGTGGGAGCTGCGGGCCTATCGAAGACATGTTGCGACTCGAGTGAACGGGGTTCGAGGTTTTGTTGATGCAGGATGCGATAGAGCTTGGTGGTGTGTTGACAGGCTGCTGCGACGTCACTGCCCAGACCCGCTGATTTACCTCTTTCAATGGCTGTGAAAAGGTCAGTGGATGCCTGTGGCAGGGGCCAAAAGCCACAGATGAAGTTCTTACTTGTAGCGATAGGTACATATATTAAAGACAAAAAGTAGTTTTCCTACTAGTAATACTAGATATAATAATGAGGAAACAATAAAGTATTCTATAATATTTAGCTTAATATTGTGTTTATTACTAGGTTAATGCTTCTCATATTGTATTAAAATTTGGCTGTAGGTGATGTTTTATATTAGTCGCTTTGAGGCTACCTACCTACCTAATATACCATGTTATACTTGGAGGAGACAATCATAGAGCAGTGTCTAGCATGCATTAAGGAGCCGGAGAGTTTGAACGAATTGATCTGTATTCACTTTGGCAATCACACCTTAGTTTAGCGATGCGAATTGCGCATGTAAAAGCGAATACATATAGATATCGCTTATGAACCAATCTATAATTATGAATTGTTAATCAGCGCCTCATTGCGTGCAAAAGCGCCTGAGTGCTCGGCCAACCCAGCGCTTCTGATCGTGGTCGGGGAATCCCCGGCGTGTACGACAGCGCCGACGGTGGATGTAAATGCACAGCCAGCTTCCAATCAACTAGCTGGACCATCATCCTGCAGTACGCATTCAGCTCTCATCTGCGACAGCTCCAACATCTTCCCTCTCCCCTGAACGACGGAGGGGATCGATAGAACCTACCGATAGGTTTACTCGACGGCTTTTCAATTGCTCCTTATCTGCCCCAGCCAAGCACGGGCTGATCCAGCGCACGTTATTTACCTCCACCCGCCCACCTCGCCACAAATAGGCATGTCACCGTTGCGTTGAAGCTTCGAAATAGGGATGGAAGCCTCGGCGCGATGGCTGAATCAAAAGACAAACCCCCAGTGATGACAGGCGATCAGTCATCGGCCGACGAGGAGTCTGCGAACGCTCCCCAGCACTTCGATCCAGACGTCCCGCAACTCCAGGTCAACGATGAGGATGATCCGGCATCTCAGGAGCTCCTGGATTTTGCGCCCGCCAGCTCAGCAAGACCGCTTTCTCAGGAGCTTCAGGAGGAAGGCTCAGAGCTTGGTTCGGTCAACGCGAGCTCCGTAGACGCGCCGCCTCGGAGGGCCGGGAGCCCGATCGATTCGGTGCTCTCTGGACCAGACGATACGCCTTCAGTACAGGTACGGGTTGCTCTCAATGTGGGAAACCAGAGGCTATGTGGATTTCTAACCGATCCTAGGGTTCCTTCATATCCTCTCCGGGAAGCAGCGTTATCCCATCAGCTGCTTTACGGCCCGGGTACGGTAGCCCTTCCCCGTCCTACAAACCATTCGATCGCCGTTTCAAGACACGCCTCGCTTCTTCTTCATCGAGCATACATAGCCCGCGTCCCGGATCTCCGTCATTGTTCTCTCCAGCGTTCCCTTCCCCAGCGTTTCTTTCACCACACAGCCGGAATGCTTCTATCAGCTCCAATTTCTTCTTCGACCAGGCGGACACCGAAGCCCAGAGCCCGCCGTGGGAGGTTGTCCGTTGGACAAGACTAAAGAAAATAAACGGGCAGGCCTTCACAGAGGCCGGAAAGCGCAATTTCGGGCTACCGACATGCCTCGCGGTTTCGGCGTCGATTGTGTTGGGAACTACCAAAGGGATAATATTAATGTTTGATTTTAACCAGAATTTGAAGATGATCCTTGGGCCTGGAACTAAAGGTATGTGACCAATGCCCGGGATTTCTGCCGTGTATCCGCCATGCTAATAGTTTGAAGCTGTTGAGTCCGGGCCGATCACTTCTGTAGCTATCTCTGCCGATCACACGACGGTGGCCGGTGGGCATGCAAACGGTTGCATTTTCACATGGGATACAAGCCGAGCGTCCCGCCCATTTCTTTCTATCCCGCATCTAGAACCGGTTCAGCTTGAGCAACACTCGGCTGACGGCCATGTGCCCAATGCGTCCATCACCCATTTGGGGTTCCTGGGAACGCGGCACACTGCGCTCGTGTCCGCCGATGAAAAGGGCATGGCATTCTCTCATCTGGCAACACGTGGGACGGGCGCCCTTGGTCGGACAGTCAAGACCACTCGGATACTTGGTCGTTATCCAAATGCGCCTCCCCCTGCGGGGAAGACGTTGAAGCCGAGTACCGTCTTAGCATTTTCACCACTGCCTTTGGGAAATGTGGAACGGGCGACTGATCTGATGGGGCTGACTGCCATGTTGACACCGTACTTGCTTGTGATTGTGTCCACAACTCCTGTTGCTCAAACGCAGCACAAGTCTGCACGGCCTAAGGATGTCCCGGCTCATAGCGCAGTGACAGGTTGCCTGGCTTGGTTCCCGGCCGTCAAACTCAAGGTTCCTGATAGTGATACGGGCAGCGATATATCGAAAGTGAAACTTGCCTATTGCTGGTCGAACGTCCTGACTGTCCTTGACGTTGATGAGATCCCGGGAGAGGACAAGGACCAGCCCCCTACGCTCCGGTTCAAAGCGCGAAGTCGATGGAAGTGCGAAGAGTCTATTGCTGCCGTGCAATGGCTGAGCCGCTCGGTTCTAACGGTGCTCACGCTTTCTCAGCGATTGATTGTGTTGGAGGATAAGAGTATGCGCATGACAGAAGCGTTTGATCTCCTTCACAAACATGTCTATCACGTGGATCTTTTCTCTAATCAACTACACGCCCTCGTGGAACAACTGGATGAGGAAGATGAATCTATGCACGGCGTTGTCGGGGATGCCTTTTACATGAGTTTCAAGGCCTACAAGGGGAGGATATTCCTTCTCGGCTTCAACGAGGTGTCGATTGGAGCTTTATCCAACTGGGCAGACCGGCTGATCGCTATAATGGAGAACGGGGATTATATTGGAGCTATCCAGCTTGCCACATCCTACTATACAGGAGATGCGAACAAGCTTACTGTTGGGCTGCCTGAAGACCAAACGTTGCGACACAGCATGGTGCGGGATAAGATCATGGAGATTATCAGCGCATCTCTTAAGTATGCTTTCAGCCAGCGGAAGAAGAGTTCCGACGATACAGACGATACGCATCTCAGACGACTGGCAGAGATTTGCTTCATCGCATGCCAGAGCATTGAGAACACAGACTTCTTATTTGACGAGATGTATGAGTGGTATGAGGATGCGGAGTTGGAGGGCATTTTCCTCGAGACCCTTGAGCCGTACATCCTCGAGAGAACCATTATTGTGGTACCACCTTCGGTTATCAAAGACATGGTTACTTACTACGTCAGCCGGGGCTGGGAGACTCGACTCGAGGAGATGATATGCCACGTGGATACGAGCACTCTAGACCTGGATCAGACAACCCTCCTGTGCAAGCAGCATGGGCTGTACGACGCTCTGACGTATATCTGGAACCAAGCCCTTGGAGATTACATCACTCCAATGATAGACTTACTTAGTCTCATTATTCCGGTTACCTCGAACGGTCATGCCGCCAACGGCATTGGCGAAGACTATCATGGAGTCAATGCTGTGAAAATTTTCCCTTACCTTTCATACACTTTGACTGGGAGAGTGTATCCGAACGAGGAGTTGATGGACGAAAAGGTAGCCATGAAGGCCAAGGCCGAGATTTACTGGTTCTTGTTTTCTGGCCAAACCATTACATGGCCGAAGGAGGGTGGGCGAGAGCTCCGAGTGAGACCCAACGAGGACTCGCAGCCGGCCTTCCCTTACCTGCGGTTGATCCTGGAGTATGACGCTCCTAGCTTTCTGAGCGCTTTGAATGAAGCTTTTGAAGACCCGTTTCTCAACGACTCGCCAGACAAGCAAACTAATGGAACTTCTAACATGGATCTGCCCGAGGAGCAAATATTCGGGCAAACGATCAATCGTCAGTATGTTGTGTCGATTCTTCTCGACGTGCTCAGCCCGGGCAACTTCTCAACAGCGGACACAATATATTTGGATATGTTTATTGCTCGAAATCTACCGAAATTCCCTCAATATCTGCTTTTCTCTGGGACGACACTGTCCAACGTGTTGAAAGGGCTCTGCAATTATCCTGGGGAAGATCTGGCTGAAGATGCCCAACTTAGCGCTGAATATCTTTTATCTGTGTATCACCCTTCAGACATGCCAGCTATGATACCCCTCTTTAAGCAAGCTGGATTTTATAGAATTTTGAAGAGGATATACAAACTTGACAAACAGTACGGGTTGCTGGTGGCTACGTACTTTGAGGACCCGGAAGACCAAGATACCGTCTTTGATTGTATCGCGGATTGCCTGCGTCCGCACAGTGGTTTGGGTGAACGACAACTCCAGGAGGTTCTTGATGTCGTGAAGAGACACGCACGGGAGCTCCTGGAGATAAGTGCCGAAAAGTCGGCACGAACACTTGCCTCCCAAGCCAAGGAGGTCCACCAAACCATATTAGATTCCGCTACAGACGATGAGGTGCTGCAGTATGAATACTTGAGGGAGTTGCTAGAGCCTCATGGTTCATCTAGAGAGCACGAACACATAGATCGAGATTTGGTTGAGCGTTATGTTCAGTTGATGTGCACCTTCGACTCGGGTCGGGTCTCAGACTACGTCGGGGTTGTTCAGTCTGCCAACCTCCGACTCGACAAGCTCTTGCCTACCATGGAGGAAACAGGCGTCATTGATGCGGCAGTTGTGCTCATGGCGCAGGACGGCCAGGTAAAGCAGGCCCTGGAACGGCTTGTCAAGCACCTGGATAATCTCGAGTCGGCTCTTCAAGGCCTGCTCTCGGGGTCGGCATCGGCGGACTCGGAGCTGGATCTCCAGACCAACGCTGAGGACCTTTTACTTGGTCTCCAAAAATATGTATATGTGGGCATCTGGCTATGCCAGGGACAGATGAAATCCTCTAAGAGGGGTAGAGTCAACGTGGT